AGTTTAGACTATAGTTCACATGGGTCTGGGGTATGTTGCAAAGCAAATGCGACGGAATTGCAACGCACAATCAACTTCTAGCCGGCCTGAGCTCCACGGATAGATAAAGTCCCGCTTAAGTAGATAGAATATGGGGTATATGGGGATCTTATTAGAACATACCCAAAGCCATATTCTACTCAAGGGGGACTGTATCAATAAAGATTCTTAAGGCTGTATAGGGATAACACTGCGGATTCTGCGGTTTTAAGATGGATCCTCCTCTTCCTTTTAGTAGGAAATTTGGCAAGCATGATCCCTTCCCACTCCGTATGGTCCGTATTGGTCCCCAAAAACAACACTGAATGCTATTGAACCTTTGCTGGTCATTGCCTCCTCATGCTCCTCCAGCTGAGGGACTTCTTCTTGTGCAGTCCTGCACTATTCGGGACCAAGAGTGACAGCGCCAGCCACACTTGGTAGCTGCTTTTGGGTGAGTGCTCTTAAAGCAGTGATTATAACGCCCCCTTGCAAACGTAAGGACAACAGCAGCAGCATTCGGATGCGATTTGGGACTCGAAATAGGCACGCAGCTGATGTCGCAGCAATTGCTGATTGCAATTTGACGCATCGCATGCATCCAGGTCATGGGTATGATAGCGAGGGACAAAATCATCTGTCCAATCCCAAGAGACCCTAGAGTGTGCCTCTTCTTCTTGACCTCTTTCTCTTTTCCTGCGCAAAAGCCAGCTAGCAGAGAGCAGAGCGTTCAACAGGTTGTGTTGATAAGAATCCTTCAAACAAAAACACAAGGCAGGAACTCCTGAAGGATATTGGAGCTCACAAGAGGCGCTCTTCAAGCTTGTCGGTGCTGGTGCTTGCTGTGGTAGTGTTGGCAGGCTCTGGTGGCGGCAGTGGTGGGGCGTGGTTGTGGTCGTGTGGTCCTACATGCTATCGCCACCACCATGCTGCTGGTACCATCTGAACGACCATCTCGGGCTCACGGAAGGGGTATGGAACCGCAAGCACAGATTCATCTTGGAAGAAAAAACTTGCTGTACTCGTGCAGTCCCAGCAATTAACCTCAGGACCCCACCGCACGAAATGCGAAAAACCATTCAAGCAACTAGTAACTCTCAAAATAGACCCATCGAGTCTTGGTCTCCTTCTTTGCCACCCTTTTCTTTCTCCGGCTTTCCTTTTCCAGACCTTGTGAAGGGAGGGGTTTCTTATTGCCCTGGGTTGCCCCCGACAGCGAGGAACCTTGTACCTAGTGAGACGGTGTTTGGGGAACCTGTATGTTGAGAAGGAACCGGACATCTTCCTTGTCGTTTGCCTTGTTCAGGGGAAGTAACCAAACCCTTGCTCGCCAAGGTAAGCTTCTGTTGAGGACGTGGACGTAAGCACTACGAAGCCCCACATACTGGTTTCTGAATTGCAATACCTCTAGAGGTCCCCGCAGATATCGAAGTCATGGTCACTGCCCAAGACAAACCTGCAGTTTTGAGAAATCCCCAAAATGAGTACACCGTCACCCTGAGCCAGGGACTTTGGTGGTTCATCATCTGCTGAGGGCTGCTCGTAGCCCTTTTTTCCAAGCAGCAGAAGGAACCTCGGTTGTAAGTGTGCATGGAGACCGGAAAGGTCAGATTGACAAGACATTTGGGCACTCCAAGTCCTAGGGTCTAGGGTTTTAGGGTTTAGGGTGCCTCAAAACCATGAGAAGCAGCATTGGACACATAAGGGTGTATGTATACATGACATACACATATACACATATACACGAAGGCATCTGCCCTACATTATCCAGAAAGCAAGACACCATAATTCCCCGCAATCTATGTATACAAGATTTCCAAGGGTACTCCCACTTTGAGAGCTCTTTGTGTTGAACTGGATGCCAGCTTGGAAACGGTTCTATGAGCATATCCAGGATGAAGCCGCACCAAATTCCTTCCAAATGGGCCACTGCGAGCAGGAGGGCACTTGCAACCACCAGACCACTAGCAGCAATAGTGAATAGCGGTTATCATGTTAACTGGCGTAAAGGATCAAACCAACCACTCGCAATGATAGCCCATGAGAGGGTGCTTGGGATGTGCATGTGCTATCTTCTGCAAACAAGTTATTGATCGGCTTCAGAATTTTGGGGGGGGCCCAGAATGCACGTCCTTCTTGGCAGGTCTTTGCACAAAGGCGGTGACACAATGCTCACATTGCGTTCTAATTTTGCCGAGCGACCGCACGCCACAGACACGATGGGCCCACAGATCAAGACCAATCGAGACATCTTTCCAGAGAAGTGGGACGCCTGGGGAGGAAGAATCTTCAAGGAGGCTTTAGCAGGCATCCTTGACAAAACATGCAAGAAATATGCACCAGCTCGTGGCAATAAATAATGCTGGAATTGACGTACACTTGAGGCTTCTATTAAGAAGAGTACCCTTGCGGGAGTCCTCAAAGGAAGCCCCTTGAGATAAGGGCGCCTTTGAACAACCAAGGTTTGGGCATTCGTGACATTGCTTTGGGACATCCCGATTGCTTGCTCAGATCCCGTGAAACAACACCTTACATAGAGCCTGCCTCAGGTGCAGGGTGTTATGTGCAAGATAACGGTCAAGCCGCAACAGGGTTGCCTCATATAGCATTCATGAACCTCTGCGTATGGGTATTTGAACCTATTCCTGCGAAATTGTTGGCGTCGAGGCAAGTGATTTGTTTCACGTTGTGTGGAATTCTGCCTAGGTTGTACTTAGATACATGTTGCCATTGGTTCAAAACTCAAGCTACTGGCGCGGGCAGACATCCAGGCCCGCATGCCTCTCATCTACACAGGATGCATGTGCCCCAACCCCCAGCATGGTGTCCAAAGTCAAGCACTTTCCGTGTGTTCCGCATTTTTTCACCGCGATGCATTTTGCACATTCAGCCTCTTGGAGGCATGCACAGATTGCTGTGTGAGGCCCCTTTGCAACTCTGAGTTGACCGGTTTACCGGCCCAGAAGCTGCAAAAGATGCCCCTGCGGGGAAGACCATGCAATTTCGTCAGCCTATTCATAAAAGGAAATCCGGACCCTCAACGGGTGGGGGCAAGTGGTGTGTCTGTCATTCTTACAGGCTGGCGGCAACTGTTGACCTCTACGCTTGCACAGAAACAGCTTCCAATTACTCCCAATTGTCCCCTATTCCTCATGGCTTCCTCGTTGTGTTTGGCTCAGCCGAGTCACTTGAGGATGGTTTAGGTCAGGGGGAAAGGTTCGGATGGCGGGTAGGCCAGGTTGGGCACACTTCCAGCAGCTTCCACGCAAAAATTGCAGACGAAACAAAAAATGAGAAAGTACAATGGTTTCGAATGCAAGGCTTAAACCTAAGCTTAAGTATAGACCTTTGCATGGCTTCAGAAAATCTGTCTTTGCAGAGTCTCCAACTGCAGGGGCTGAGAAGAAACCACTGCTCCCCATTGGGGCGCAAGAATTTCGGTCATTAGCAGTCAGGAAATGAGAACTCTACACATCTCTCCTGATCATAAACGTTTGTCCCAGCAAGGGTGTTTCAGAGGCAGGAACCGCCTTGCCATTCACTTCGCCACTCCTGGCGGCCTGAACGAACTCGTACACCGTTTCCTGGGTCCCTTCTTCTGTGTACTGCCAGAGGCGCTCTTGTAATTATGTGTGGTATCCTTCAGCTAGTAACAGCCAAATGAAGCCAAAAGGATCCCAGAGCGCGGCCAAGTGTCTGCAGCTGGCATTGGCTCCAGGGGCAGGATGTATTGCTTCAAGTCATCTGACCTCACCTTGCAGAAGTTTCCGTGCTCTTTCCTGCCAGCTAGCTGGCCCAAGAAGAGCACTGCCATGGGAGCTGCAAGCTCTTCTGTGGCCCCAGCATCTCCGTCCAGATTGCGCACGAAGCGGTGAAGCACGTCCGTGTCGAGGAAGGCTGAGCTGAGCAGACAGCACGGGATATCAGGAATGCGCGCGGCCACACTCTTCATGACCTGGTGCCACAGATGAAAGGCGGGGGTGAGGGATACCTGGTGATTAGATTGCGCTCTGGCAAGAGGGATGTCCCCAAAGTTTCAGACAACCCCGGCCTCTGCAACAGTGGCCTCCCCAGCGGATAGTGGTAACTGCACTCCAGCGCCGAGCCACACGCAAAGAAGCCCAGCTGTAGCCTTCACAAGATAGTGCACTCGGTTTGCCTGAGAAGAGACAGCGAACAGGAAGTGCAACTCCGATGCTCAAAGGCCGACATGTCTGTTGCCAGGGTATGAGTGGGGGCACATGGCTTGTCAGGTTGATACCAATGTTTCTTTGACATGACTTTCAAGATACACGTAGGAACCCCAAAGCTCAGAGTAAAACTAGTGAAAAGGCTTAATGAAGGAGCCCCTAAACTCTAAACCCTGAAGTTGCCAATTGCTGTGAGCAACTTCATGAAGGACGCCGAGGAGAGGAAGACCCTGACCAGAACATGACTGTCGGCAAGTTCGCTTGTAAGGCTGGTGCTGCTCTACTTACCGCTGCTGCTACTGCCAGCGCTCTCACCAAGACCAGCACCACCCACCAACTACCACGACCGCGACCTCCGCCACGACCTGTGTGATCACCACAACGGTTGGCGGCGACGACGACGTGACGAATAAAGATTTCGCCGCCCCTGCATATTCATTTCATACATATACCTCTTCACATGTAGGCCAATACACACGTTCTTCTGCCTGGGACAGGCTCTTTGTGACGGAGCTTCCCAAACAGGTTCGTGCACAGGCTCAAGTACTGGCTTCCGGTTTGGGAATTGCTATCAAGAGCTTCGTTGGAGTGGAAGAGTTGTGAGTTGTCGTGGAGGATCCCGTACAATCAGATATATGAAAAGTGAGTCTGATAGCATGAAGTTTGAATCCACCTGGCTTCTGGCTTTTGAGACCACAATAGACCAGGAAGATCAATATGCTTCGGGTCGTGACTGCTTTGTGCTCTGAAGGGTGGGAATATGTCAAGATGACCACAGCAGCCCCGAAACCTTCTACACCCCTCAATCCCGAAGCTTCGGCATTGGCCCTCTGGGAGGCTGTGGACAATTGTTTTGCGTGACCTCTAATCTAATGGATGCGTCCAAATAATTGTGAATATGCTTGCAATTTTTCCTGTACTTCTCTATGTGAACATGAAGACTTATGAGAAGGACATTTGCAACAGAAGAGATGCCCATGGAGCATCTACTGCAGCCTCGTTGACCACGAAGTTGGAGACGTCTTTTTTGTCGAATGAGCCGCTGAAGACGACAGCAGGCCTGGGTTGAGAGGCAGGGCTGATGAACAAAATCATGATCCTATGTACCCAAACCTCCTCATCTTTCTAAGATGGTACACCTTAGGTGGTCAAGCCGGATGCCTACTGCAAATCCTGCAGTCTAGTCTCTCATCGAAGCCGCGATAGATTCTGACCTGGTATCAGGGAAGCCAGCACATGCAGGTTTCTGATACCCGGCCCTTTTGGGGGTTGTCAGGGCCTCACGAATTCGCCGCGCGCGTGGGCATGCAACCGTAAATGATCAGAAGCCGGGTAGGACTATAGGGAGCCTTGAAAGGGGTCCGTAATTGTTAGGAGTCACTTTTCCCGCTAAGATCAGACAAGGCGACGCTGGAAGCTTCCGCCTCTGTGCGATGGACGAGTGTGACCAAATGCGTTGGGAACTTGTTTTCCGTCATCTGAACCTCAGAACTGCTGGCTGAGATGCGCACACAGAGTAAGCCTGCCGATGTAGGACACCAGTGCGGCACTGCAGACACTGCAGCAGTGCCAGTACTCCTGAAAACTAAATGATCTAGACCTAGGCTGTGAGTCTCTCCAAGGGAAGCAGCCTTGAGAAAGCTATTCCAAGTACCTTTCTGCCTCCAAGAAATGCTTTTCTGTCTTTTGCAATTTCCGAGCAGCTGGGCACCTTCGTGCAGACCAGAAGCGCATTGGCCCATTCTGAACACGACGTGTTCCTTCCTGAGTGCTTGACTTTCGGAACTGACTCCACATGACAATCCAAAGGGATCGAGAGCAGAGAAGCCTCTTTGTTTACAGCCTGCTTCTTGTCAGCTTGGTTCTCATGATGCAGGTAGATGACAAAGCACATCCAAGCGGCTCCGGAGTGCACGTGACGCAAATCACCGAAGCCTGCGGTAGCTTCAACTTTCCCAAAGCTGTCATTGCAGCCTGACCGTCCACGTACCTTGAAGGGAGCTTGAAGTTTGGCTAATGCACTACAATGTGTAGGACCGAACGTGTAAGAATGTGGCCAAAAAATCATTCACTCAAAATGCTTGCAATATTGGACTGCGTGCCCAAAGCTCAAACCTCATGTCCCAGCAGTTGCTAGCACGATTATCCTTGTGGTAACCATTTCTGCTGCCTGAATTCCCCGGGCCCTTCGAAAAAGGAATCCAACTCCAGCCGAAATTACCAAGGTGCACATGTGGCAGTTGCTCTATGCTGCGGACCGAGGCCCGCATCATCCAGAACATTTGCAGGACATCCTCGTCACTCATGCCAGGCCTGCTTGCAGTTGGCTGATTCGACTCCCAGACCCCTAAGCCCAAGGGAAAGCACAAAGAACAATTATCATGCGAGTGATTCAACGTCGTGATTCACATGATGATGATGATGATGATGGCTTTAACATAAGGTTGAAGGTGCTGGGTTCAAGCTCAGAACAAGACTGACTGATGAAACTAGTACTTCCGCTTGTAGACACGAAAAAAGGCTTCACTATCCAATCTCACCTTTCTGCGGGGAGCACCCCGCAAAGCCTGAAACCAGACTCAGGAAGCGCAGCTTCCCGGTAGGTGTGGATGAACAGCTCTGGCCTCTGTGGAGGGTCTAGGGATACTGGGAGTCACAGGATCATTTGGTGCTCTTCGGGGCTCCCTTCTACGAAAGGACCAACTCTCTAGTTCGGCCCCCAATCGAAATCATCGGCAATTCAGTCCTAAACCCAAAGCCATGTATCCTGGTTGGTCCTTGTACTTTCCTTCCTGCTGATCGCCATGACTTGCGACGCAGTTCTCAAGAGCAGTTCCCTAAACCATCTTGAACCTATGACCATTATATCCATATCATGTTGAGAACCAAGTTCTTCTGGACCCATTATCATGAATGCTCTCAACAAGTGGTTCAAAGAATCGTATTCATGCATATCTCTATCCATATACACACACATAGATACATATATGTATCTCCGTAAGTGTTTTCTTGCGAGGACCCACTTGTGAAACCTGTTTACAGCTGTCGGGCAGCACCCTGTAATACCCCTCCACATCTGAGG